GCGACGGAGCTGCTCCTCCGCAGCGTCGCGCCGCACGCGGCGCGGGCGCAGCCGCATTTCGCCTCCGCCACCGCCGTCTTGAAGGCGTGGCGGGAGAACTGGCGCGCGAAACGCGTGGCGGAGGGGGCCGTGCGGGGGTTTCTCGCGCAACGCCCGCGGGCTCGCCAGGGGGCCGCCGCCGAGGCGGAGGTCGCCACCGCCGAGGCGTGGTGGCATCTCTGGCGCCTTCGCGAGGGGTTTATCCGGGGGTTGCTCGCGCGCGAGCTCGACGAGGCGGGGGTTTCGCCTCGCCCGATGGCGGACGACTCCCCGTGGGTCGCGGCCGGGAAGGATCCGGAGGATGTCGAGGCGGTGATGCCGATCGAGGGCGAGACGGGCTCGCCATCGCGATCCCCCGCACGCGCTTCTTCTGCGTCGGCGGCGTCGTCGTCTCCGTCCGCCGCCTCGTGGTTGGATAGGAGGGATGAGGCGGAAGGTGAGCTCGTGGAGCGCTCCGCTTCGGAAGGGGGATCCAACGTCGACTGCCACGGCGACGAGGGGGATTCCAATGGGGATTCCCATCACCTTTTCGCCGCGGTTTCGCGCGAGCAGGAGGTGGAGGCGAAGGAGGAAAAGACCAACGAGGAGGGATCGACGTCGGAGGCGTTGCTGCGCAAACGTTCGAGGGAGGAAAGTGGGGATCGGGCGGAATCCGACGTCCCACGGCGTTGCCGAGAACCAAGAGGAGAGGAACCGGAAAGCGAGGGAAAATGACGAGTGATGACGATAGCGACGGCCCTTTTCATTCTTTTTGTTGTTGTTTTTTAGTTGAACATGTCGAAGGGTTTTTAAGAAAAAAAAGGTTGGGCGAAGGAGGCTTAGAGCCTCGTTCTTTATAGAGGTAACCTTATTAAGAGAAGTATATTGATCGCGAACTCCAAAAAGACGATACATTTTTCGAGTGCGTAGAAACCTTGGAGGGGAGACTAACAAGGCTTATTAAGACACCTGGATGTTGTGCGTGGAAGATGAATTTATCACCCATCCGTAGTTTCGCTTAGCTCTCCCCCTCTTTTTTTTTCTTCTTCTCTTTTGTTTCGCCTCCTCGATTCTCCAAGGGGGTAGCTTTACATCCAAACCACCGAATGCAGGCAACGTTCTTGTTCAGCTTCCCAGGCCTTCACCGCGATGTCGCGCTGCGGCTGTTCATCCCCTTCCCCGAGCAGCGACCCCGCACCACCGCGAACTTTTTATTCCTCTGCACGGGAGCCCTCCCGCCCGGGGAGATCCTCCGCGCGCTGAAACTCGAACCGGGGAAGAACGTGGAGTTCCTCGACGTGGCGGACGCGCGGAAGGCGGGGTTGCGCCCGTTCAACGAAACCGCCCTCGTTCGGCTGGAAAAAGGCAGCCTCGTCGAGTTCGGCAGCGCCGCGAGTCGTTCGATCGTGAAAGGGGGTTTCCTCCCGGATGAACCCCTGCGGGCGACCGCGGGGGAGGGCGATTGGCGGGATCGCCAGGCCGTGGCCTCGATGCGCGCGTACAAGGCGGGAACTGTTCTGTGTGGAAATGCCGGGCTCCCCCACACCGGTGGGAGTCGGTATTATCTTTTGTTAACCGACTTCGACGGCGACGAGGCGCGGCGGGAGTTGGAGTCGTGTCGCCCGCTCGGGTGGGTCGTGGAGGGGTTGGGGGCCTTCCAAACCGCCTGCGCAGGGGTCGAGGTCCACCCTCGGACCCTCGCGCCGCGGAAAAAAATCCCCCTCGTCGCCTGCGAGGTCGCCTACGCGTATCCCGCCCCGGCCTCGGGGGAGATCGGAGGGGAAAGGACCGGGGTGGGGTCGTCCGCGAGGCCGCCCGCGCGGGAGACGCCTCGCGAGCGCATCACCGGGCGCGTTCGACCACGCGAGGAGGAGCCCGGCGAGGGCCCCGAGGCGGCGGCGCGCGATTCGACGCCAACGGAGGGGCAAACCTGCTTTTTCCGTTTCGGCGAAATCTACCCCACCGGAGGGTCGATCGGGGGGCGATCCGTTGGGGGTTCGGCCGCGAAACGCTACCGCGCGGAGCGGAATGCTGCGCCGGAGGATGCCGAGGGCGTCCTTCGGACGACGGCCGTTTGGGAGCCCCTTTCTTCAAGCCCCGAGGGCGGATCTCAGGGGTCTTTTGATTTTTTCAAAACGCAGGAGGAGGCATTTATGAACGATCTCGAGGTGATCAATGAAACACAGAGAAGTCGGCAACAGAACCGGGCGCGACGTCTGGGAAAAGAACGTGCGACCGCGGTCGCGGTGAAGACCGGTGCGTCCCCGCAAGGTGTAAAGAATAAACGGGTGAAAAAGCGTTATTAAAATCGTTAATCACAAATGAGTTATATATATGTTCTGCCATTGATTCCCCTCGTCCTTTGTCTAATGATCTATAGCAGGGAGTACCAATTGGACGAAAAAGGGGCATGGGTTTACTTTCCATGAAACGATAACGTTTTTGTGGTGAAAGGCTCGTGAGGATGTGGAAACCTGGGGTAAGGTTTTCATGCAGACATCTTTTCCTCTCTTTCCTCACAATTTCGCTCGGTTGGGTATCAAGCTAATAGAATAACAAACAAACAAACAAACCAAAGCGGAAGAGGATCAAGCCACTTTAGACTGCACAATCTGTGGCGTTATACTACCGAAGAATCCTTTTCTCTAGACATATTCCTAAAGCACTCGACCCTCAGGCGACGTAACACTCTTTTTATATATATATATATATATATAAAAGAAGGATCCCCGGTGGATTCTATCCCCAATCG